AGGGCTTAAGTCTTTTTAGAATAACACCTTACCGGAGAAAATTCCCGACTTTGGCCCGTAAGTAATTCCACATGGACTCTCCTGTGAGCTTGAATACTTTTTCCTATTTCCTTTGCTGCAACGCAACGTAGTTTTCAGTCACCAGTAACCCCTAATCGATGTTGATAATCCCAAACGGTTGACACGAAAATTAACTGAAACACCTAAGAGAGATAAAAACAAATTAAGCTTGACGTTCTTACTTGTTCATCTATCACACGTGTTGAGAAAATTATAAGCTCTGGTCAGAGCTGTGTTATTTTAAATGATGAAAGTCTGCGTGCAAAGAATTTTATTGACGTTCAATGCAATTTTCAGTTAACCAGAAGTTGGATAAATTTAACCGAATTATTATAACGATAGGTTTTTCGCCCACAACTGGACTTTTGCGGGGAACGTAACATTAACGGGGGAAATAACTTGGTAAGCACCGCTTAGCTGCGAGAACAGAAATTCGTCACGATTTCCTGATACAGGGGTCCTGCTTCGGCGGACTTACTTCGGACGTCAAGGATCATAATCAATTGGGTTCCAACAAAAATTTTATTTCAGTTTATGGCGACAACTGACTTGACCTCAAGCGTAATCAACTATGTAATCCAAAAGGCTTCACAATGAACTTGCTTAGGTACTATCGAGCCACTGATTCTATTGTATCCCAAATTTAAAATATTTAGATAGTATCACAAAAGAAGCGAATGCGTTTAAAGTTATCGATTTTTCTTGGATATTCCATCTATTCGGAATGCACGAACTATAAGAGAACGGAGATTAAACTCACATCTTCGAAATTAAAAGTATAAATCTTAGCAACGTAGGAAGTAAACTGAGTAAGCAGTTAATTAAAAAATTTCTGCTTATCTATGCGATACTGGTTTTAAGTTTGAGCAAGTAGCAACGAAGAAAATTAACGTATGAAAAGAACTTATTTACGGACGCAAGTTCAGCTGACAACTTCCTTGAGAAGTTATTTCCAGAAAAGGTCTCTACCAGGAAGATTTAATCATCATTGCCTGCTTAGGATAACATCACAAAAGGACCGATGCACAGGTGCACCAAAAGGCGAATACAAAGCAATATAGTATAATTGTTTTTTGAAAGAACTTCAGTCCGAAATCGTTTCGATCTTCATTCGTAATTTTATTTAACATAAACACGAACAACGATTAATTAGAGCAAGAAAGTACTGTTACATTTTTATAACATAATTGAAAGTTTTTTTCTTTATAATTTTCTAAGCTTTCTGCTGAAGGCAGCGGGTTTCCAAAGACTATCAGCTAAGAAGTTAATTTTAATATATTTAAAACGTGATACAATTGCGTGCCTCACCTGACAAAAGAAATGACGATGCAAAACTTATAATGCAAATTTACAACTATTCTTAAACTAGTTGATATTCACTGACGTCATTTCATCTCACCCGACAAATTTGTTCACAAAGGAAAAAATCTTTCAAGTCTTACTTTCGAAACCAAATTTGCTAGAGGTATTGTTATGATAGATGTAGTGAATTTTAAAATGCATAATTTACGACTAACTTTCAGCTTGTCAATTGTAAACGTCTCTATTTATCGAGGAAGTTAAAAGCTTCCTTGTCGACTGACTCGCCTCATTTTTTCCTATCTTTTCTGCATAGACCATCATGTTTCATCATGACTTAGAAATCAACTCAGAAAAATAACGCTGAAAATATATTTGGTTCGTTAGAGATGCAAGAAGACAAATGTCTCTTCTGAAAAGAAGGGTGTTCATGGTTTTTTCTTCAACTCGCTATAGATCTCGTAGTATCGATTTTCATTCGAATTTAAAATTAAACGCAACATCCTAATTTCTTTCAAGGTAAAAATTTAAGAAATGCTTCTTTTATTTTCCTTCAAATCTCTCATTTACCTCAGATAACCGGAAGACGGAAACAGACAATGAATCAAACAGAATTCATCGTTTAAGCACATCTGAATACTTTATGCAAAATATCAAGTAAATAACTTCTGTTGAAGAGAATTGACGACCCAAAAACAAGAAAATTACCCACCTCTTTGATTTTATAGGCCTTCGATACCGTTTTTCTGGTTAATAAATAGATAGCTGAGTATTTATATACATCACCATTGTATGAAAAGATGCCAAGGTACAAAAATAGAGGGAATCTTTCGAAGAATTGAACAATTTCTTAAAATAGAACATGATTGTAAACAAACTTCTGCCTTTGTTGATTGGTTTCACGTGACGTTTTGTTCTTCGATGGTCCCATGCTAATTTCTGAAAATTTCTTTCAGAATGATTCATCCACGAAAAATTGTATAAACATCGAAGTAAATTTGGTTTTCATCCATAAAGCAGACTGTGCTTATAAGTTTAACACTTCAAGTCATTTTCACTTTTGAGGAAGGGTTTGCATATCGTCTTCCACCTGTACTGAGCGAAACCACTCCAATAAAACTAAAATAATCTTTCAAGTAAAATTTAATCCATATTTCTCTCCTAAAAACAATATTAGTAGTATCTTTGAGCGAATTCTGGTATTTGAAGCGGTCAATTAGGCATAAAGTGACAATATTTATGGTATTACATAATGCCACATTTTGTGGAACCTTCAGTAAGCGGTCGTTCTTGAATTGTAGATTCCAGTTTTATTGCTTATATAGTTAGTCTGGAGAATTAAAATTTATTAACTTTTTAACCTTGTGGTATTAAAAAACCAGTGGGTAACCGCTTAATACAGGTTTGATTGTATTGAGGATTGAAAAAGCCGGAGACGCTGGGTAACTGGATGCAGGGCTGAGTTTATTATTTACAATTTCCGCTTGAAACTTCTGTGGAGAATTTTTACTTCCGGTTGTTTACAGTTTGCAGTAGGTTCATTCGAATACGACCAACGCCCCGCAAAGCACTAACCTTCCAGCGTTGCTGAAATGGATTTTTCAAATTTACTCTCTCGCTAATAACTATCAAATTGTTTATCGTATTCATCCCGTTGGTACGAAATAGAACAGTATCCTATATTGAAATTATATTTAGAGGCTTATTCGCTCTTCAAAGCCACCTTTCATTTCTTCGTGAAATCTAGAACGCGTATAAATCGTGGAAAACAATTCCAGTTGCGCAAGCTATGCAAAAACTGATTAGTTTTAGGTTGATGTAACCATTATCGCCAATTTTTTTTGGATGAGGTCGGAGGACGTGCTCAAGGTATATTTTGGCATATTTTCCAGCTGTGAATATTGCGGTTTTCTTACATCAAATATCTCCAAAACAGAGATCTACACGAAATTATGAAACTAGCGTTTTAATAGTCCTTTTCTTGAAAATATTGTTTTTAACCGGCCCATATTTTTTAAACTTAGAACATCGAAGATACAAATGCACGCAATAGATACTGTATATAGACAGATTTGTGAAGAGTGAAGAATTATTGACATAACAAAGACCGATCTTAGGGGAAAAATACTGCATGCAAAATTACGCCCAAGATAGAAACTGAAATTTGTTCAACTTACGTCCCTGATCGTGACACCAAAACGATTTGTTTGAATATCCTACAGACGGCTTCCATCAAACACGATGCCTTTTTCTCGCATCAAATTGTAAATTCAAAGCATCATCCATCGATTTGTAGGGAACGGAACCCTTAGGCACGTACTTCAGAAAAATAAAGTTTCTAAATTCGTTGGAATGTCATGTATGACAGTAGCATCCGAGATGAGTGACACTTGCGCGGATGACGTCAACCGGATATTGGCTTGATCAGGCAATATCTGTGAGTAATAGCCCTCTGTTATTGACCAAGCGTGAGGTCAAAGATGGATATTGGCCAAAAACTTCTTTACTGGATTTGTAAACAAGCTGAATCATTAATAAAGGATTTATTGTGTAGAAATGTAAAGATAGCATTCAAGAAATGCAAAATAGATCATCAAAACGGTTCGCAGATTTCGTCGTTGTATCTGTCCTAAAGATTGACGTCCTTTTTCGATTCCGTTGCTGTAACATTTTGGTCCTGCCCTTAGGCTTTGGACCGTTTGCCCGTGCTAACGAAACGATTGATTTGGGGGGGGAGGGGGAATAGTAGGAGAGGGGTGGGTTTCTTAGTCACTTTTTAAAAATACCAATATTAAGGATTATCTATGTACACTTAATTAAAAAGAGTTAAATTAATCAATTCTGGACTTTTCACTCATGTTTAACGAAGGGGTCCCAAGGAAAATCAAGCAAGGAACAATTTTTTCCCGCCTTGGGTTTATGCCAAGAATAGATAGATAACAAAAAAATTGAATATTAGGATCCAATAATTATCTTTCCGAGGGAAACCACTGACAAGTTTTACTAGATAAATGTCGGCTTTTCAAGTATTATGATCAAATGTTAGCACCACTTTGAGGGTGTCGTAATCTGGTCTCTAGCATTGCAGGAAGCCAAAACAAACGGCGTGACACGTAACTGTATATTTTGATTTAAGAGGAAATGGATGAAAACGTCGAAAAGACAAATGCAATGAATCCTCTCACTTGACATCAAAGCAAACATACATTTAACCTTGTTGTTTACTTTTTGCAGACTATTGTCCGTCACTGAATCTTCAAAATGACCAAAATTTGCCGTCTTTGGGCACAAGCACGAGTAAAAGCGCGTTTATTTTTAAGACAAATGATATTGTTCATCGAGGTTCTGCGCAACTTTATTACGACTTTCTACTTTTATTAAATTTCTTTTGAATTAAAATTTACAAACTCGAACTAGATGCTCACGCTTTTCACCTGGATGCCCTGTACTTAAACGCAACAATTCGCAATTTAGGAGTTGCTTCTCCCCAAACTGACTAAATTTCAAGGCAAGAGGACAATGAGATACGCTAACGCGAAATAGAAATACACTTCTACAGGGATTTTTCACGTTTTGTTTCGATCAAGGAGAAAAGCAAACTTTCTACGTGTTTAATAACTTAATTGCGTAAATGGGTCAAATTACTCGTTCTCTTCTCTCTTGCATACGTCAGTTGATTTTTTTACTTGAAACAGAAGCACGCAGATGTTCGTGATCACATCTTGAATCCATCTAAACAATCCCTTCTAAGGTAAACAGAAACTTAAAATTACGAGAACGTATCGGAACAAAGCAAAACGTGTTTAGTGCTCGCACTCAAGTATTGAATCGATATTGTCATGTTAACTGGAACTGCACGGAAAGTGATTTCGGATCAATATCAGTATCTGGGCAACTGCCCACCTACCCCTCCCTTAACCCAACATTAACACTAATGAGTTAGGGGAGGGGTAGGTGGGCAGTTGCCCAAATACTGATAATGATCCGTGATTTCAAAAGAACACATCATTTATCTGAGGTCCTCAGCAGACGTGATGTTCCCAGGTAACCTGGCCTCTCTGAAACAATAAACTTCACCTCCCCTGAAGAAACAATTACACCTTAAAAATTGATGTAAACGGAAAAAGTTGGTATGAGGGATGGGGGGGGGGCAAGAGCAGGAATAAGGGGCAAGGAGAAAAGAAGGGAGGGGAAGGTATCACACACTTAACTAGAAATTTAGTTTGCAGTCAAGTTAGTTACACAAAAAGGCTGTCTGAGAGAAAGTTGTGTCAAAATAAGTTTAATTCAAAGTCATGATTTTTTTTTAAAACAAACTGAACATAAATGATTACTACTCAACAATTTCATCCCTTATCCCAGTCTTGACAATAAACTCAGGAGAAGACTTGCACCTTTCTACGACAAATTACAAGAAAGAAAATGGATCAATCTAGCACTAGAATTCTTAAACTCTATAAACCCCAGGTGAGAAATATGTTTATCTTGGGGATATCAAGGCAATTCTATTTGCAAGAAACAAGATATCGCCAGATGCTCACAGTTTTGTATGTTAAGACAATTTATTGTACATTCTATAAACAAAACAAACAAAAAAAGTAATAGAGTCGTTTATTTTGACCAGTTGATCCACTGATAGTTATCTGGTAGACTTGGATCATCTTCCTACAAAACAGATCAAGCAAGGATTTAAAATATCTGTGCTAGTGTAACAGTTGACTAGGCATATTTTCCACTTAACCCCTTAACTCCCAGATCAAATTTGTAATTCTCCTTACTATGAACTACACAATTCTTACAATGTTAGTTCAGAGAATTTAGTATTGGATCAACTGATTAACCCCCAAATTGATATTTTTCTTTGTTCTCATCACTTATCTGGTTGATATTGCATTGATACTGTAAGGAGAAATTCTGTCTTGGTCACTTATGGGAGTTAAAGGGTTAATTTGAAACACAGAAAGAAAACTGTAGTTGTAAGTTAAAAGTTAGCCAAAGAGTTTTCAGCACCTACCTTCGCATATCTTGCAAAACGTTGTGATGGAATGTGTCTGTACGGTGGCACATAACGTCTCTGACGGAAAAAGAAAAACACCGAACAAAAGATATATGTGTGTAATGGAGAGAAAGAGAAGCTGAACCCTCAGCTGATGCATGAACCATGTCCGTTACCAGCAATATTATAATAACTATTAATCAGTGTCTCCAAGTAAGCCATGGATGTTAATGAGCACTGTGGTTAAAATAAACTGTTTTCTAAAACCAAAAGGTTAAAAATTTAATACAGTTTTACCTCTCTTGACCAACTAAGCAATGCAACTGGAATCTGCAATCCAAGAACGACAGCAAAACAGATGGCTGTATTTCTTTTCCAGTTGCGCGGATTGCACCACCATCCACCGGTCGGTGACCACACATACTTCGGATAATCAAACTTTTTTACCCCTCCCTGGATACAAAAGCAAAGGAAAATAATTAACCTACATCCATATAACATTAGGGACGAGAAAATCCACCAAAAATGCGCAAAATTGTGTGGAAACAAACCATTTTCTGGCAATATAATCTCAGCCCCTGTCGACCGAGTAGCCAGGCCTTGCGTCGTTTGCTCGCTGGGAACCCCGGGACTTTTCTCCCACAGCTCCTTGCGGTCGCATAACGCATGCTTGGACGCTTTACCGCTTCAACAAATTTTCAAAGATGGCGGAGTCGACGGAACTGGTAAGGTCGCGTGAAAAAAAATTAATTTAATCAGACATTTAATCCTCGCATTTGACACGCCAAAATTTTCGAAAGACTTTCCAGAATACTCACTTTATCCATCAGTATAATCTTCTAGGAGTTTCTCTTCCTTATAGATTTGTTATGAGCAATGTTTACGTTGCCAATAGACTTGTCAACCATACGAAGCGGTCTTTCGTGTTTGCAAATCGGAAGTCGCTAAGATTTTCGTGATCTTGGTGTAGCGTGATTCTTATTTTCTGTTTTGAATTCCTACAGTCCCCTAAAGCTCCAACGGATGATGCAGGTAATTTTTCATTTGTAATAAACGAGTTTATTAAAATGTAGATTAATGAACTTTTGGCAATTAACAAGTTTTTATGAACAAAATGAAATTAAACTTTTATCTTCTTTGTGGATATTTTTGTATCGGTATTAGGTGATTCAACAGACCAGGAATACGAAATCACAGCTGATATGATGGTGCACGATATTGATGATGAAACAACTATGGATGAGGAAGAATTAATGGCAGACAAAGACGAATTTAATGAAGATGAACTATCAGAGCTCCAAAAGGTAAAGAAAAAAAGTTTTTATCGCAATTCATTGCCACAAATGTTTGCAGTTTTTTGAGACTGAATTTTTTAGCTGTGTTTTAATTTTAGAAAGGAAAAAAATGAAAAAATAGCGTTTTTTTGTGTGCACTTTTTCACTTTCTAGATATTGACTGTTTCTTCCTGTTTCAGGAGTAAAAATAACAACGTTTTTTTGTCAATTATTTTTTTTTGACCCATCAGTGCAATTTAAGTAATAAGGTGTCAATATTCATAACTCACTTACATTGTATTGTAGGATTTAGATCAATGAACAAAGTTTGATATCTGGGCTTAGTTGTTTGAAGGCTGATTTGTGCTAACCCAAGGTTAAATTTTAATCTGAGTTTCTTCATTCCTTCATTCTGAAGCCTGTTTGGGATAATTTCTCATGTTCTTTTAAGAGCATCAAATAGTCATATTCTAGAAAAAAAGAATTTGACTGAATTTTGTTTTAAAGCTATTAGATCTGAAATCAGATTTCACATTAACCCTGGCTTATTTTAACCCAGCTTTGAACAACTTGGCCCAGTTTTAATTCATTTTTCAGAAGTAAAATTGAAATTATTTTATTGAATGAAAACTTTTGCCTTTTCATTACTTTGGCCAATCTAATCTGCAGTTCTTATCAAATATTTCACCATACAGAAAAAAAAAAATTTAAAAAGGGGTATTCTCATCTTTCCCCCTGGATGGGATGGTAGTCCATTACAAGTCCTCCCTCCTCCCCCCTTCTGCCTCCCAGTATTTTGTTAGACTTCTCTATCAAGTTGCCATTACCAATTTAAACTCTTGGGGGGGGGGGGGTTGTTCAAAGCTGGGTTGAGTTTACCTAGGGTTAGTGTGAAATTTGATTTCAGATCTGAAAGCTTTAAAAGAAAATTAATTTAAATTCTTTTTGTATATAATTTGTTGAATGGATGGTCTAAAAAGAATCGGGAACATTTTCTTTAACAGTTTTTTGAATAGAGAAATAAAAAATGTGGATTAAAATTTAACCCTGGGTTAGTGCTAATTAACTGTTGAACAATTGGGCCTTTGTTGGAGAGAAGCACTTTCAGAGTTCAATGTTGTACACACGGACACTACATAGTGATTGGGTCTGAAACTTAGACCTCATGTCGAAGCTTTCAGTTTGTTTATTTCAAGACCACTGCATCTCCTACTTACTGTTCTATAAAATGAAATGCTTAGAACTATTCCTGCTCTTAATAGTATCAAATACATTATTGTATATATGACTAGGAACAGGACATGCCTCTTGCGGAATTGATGGCAATGTATGGGTACTCAGATGAGGCTAACCCAGAAGCTGATGTACCTTTAGATGAGATTAAGCCTGAGCCTCTTCCCCCTCTGATTGACGCCAGTGAAATTGATCCTCCACATTCTGTTAATCCACTGCTTGGAGAAAGTGCTCTGCCAGAAACTACAGAGTCTCCAGCAGTTCATTCCCCAGACTCTCCCCTGTCAGTGCCATCACCAGGGTCTCCACAGTCCCCTCCTTCACCAAGAGCTAATCGGGATAACAACTTCTTTCCTGAAAACCAAAGGATAACCAGAGGATGTAAGTAATACACTCTGATAAGTGATCAAAAAGTAATTTCTCTGCACAGGACCACTATGTTTTTGAGCAGATGAATGATGAGAATTAAGATGAAGGAAATGATCTGATTTACTAGTAAGACCAAATTCTCATCACTGAAAGCATAAGAAGTGTATTCGAACAGTAAAGAGACTTTCTTTTTGGACGGTTTTTAACCCATATTCATTGACAGCTCTTGTAGCCATTCTTCAGCTCCCTTAGATTTTCTGGAATGAATAATGGTATTTTAATATTTTTTGGTCCTCAGTGGCTGCTGCTTATAGTTATTTCAATCTTGGTGAAAGTTCTTCATCTTCTGATGACGAGGATTATTCACCTGAAGACTGGAAGAAGGTGAGAGAAGCACTTTCTTGATGAATGTAGTAGTGTGCCTCTGTTTTCATACAGTGGTTAATTGATTTCTGTTGAATTAAGAAGTAAATTGTATACAGTGTACTATGTGAGTTTATTTTAGTTCTGACTAGAGTACTCTGTTGACTGGTTCTGTAGAGTAGCTAGTAGCTTTTATGAAACTGTATTTATTTTTGTAACTATATATTTATCTACTTTTTTTAGGAGATTCAAATTGGACCTGATCATCAGGCAGAAGTCCCAGAAGTACTGGGTCCAAACTATCAAGTTGGTGAGTTGATCTAATTGTTTCCAATTGGTATTCAAACCAAAACAAATATAAAAAAAAAAATGCAAAACAAAAAAAACAATGTGATTTATATGTTCTTGATTTTTTTGAAAACAGCTCCATATTCAAAAGATGACAAGTGTCTTTGGGATCCAAGGAAAGTTAATGAAAAAGATTGTAAGTCCATTTTTCTTTCATTTCATTGCTACATCTTTATCCTGGCGGCATCTTACGGTCTGCACTCTTTTTCATACTTCTATGTAGCTAGCAAAATATGGAACTCTCCCCCAGACACTTCCAAAACATTACATTTCTAGAATTCAAGCAGGAGATCCTCAGATATGAAGCTTTTCCACAGTAGATCTACAAGTTATATTTCCCTCTGCATGCATAATGTTGTATATAGTTTATAAATATTATTGGAATTGTAATATAACATATTTTTATTTTATTTTAGCTTTTTTTCTTGAAGATATTAGCTCTACAGCTACACTGAATTTTGAGCATAAATATAGTATATGTATGTATGTATGTATGTATGTATCACATACAGTGCAGATATGACTTTCTGATTTTCCAGCTGATATCCTTTTTTTGTTCCCCTTTCAGTGCAGCGATATCTCAATGCAATATGCCAAATACCAGGCTTGGAGGGAATGAGGAGAGATGTTATTAGAGATGATGAACAGGTAAATGGAAATTTTCATCTACAATAGTGTCAGAGTTAAAGTAATAATCTGGAGCATAGAACAAGAAGTGATTACTATAGACATTTGCAGATAAGCTATACTCACAGATAAGCCACACTATGCATTTGGCAACTCAAATTTTAGAAAAAAGTTTTTGTAAAGAAATCACTAGAAATCACAAGTTAAGTCCTAACCCTTCAACTCCCATGAGTGACCAAGACAGAATTTCTCCTTACATTATTAATACAATTTTAAGTGGAAAAGTGATGAGAATAAAGAAAATTATCAGTTAGGGGATTATAAGTCGATTCAACACCAAATTCTCCAAACTAACATCACAAGAACTGTATGGCAGACTGTTAGGAGAATTGCTAATGAGATCTTGGGAGTTTAAGGGTTAAGGAAGTACAAGGTAGCTTTAGATTACTTGTTTCGATGAATATACACCTGCAAAAAAAAATCACTTACCTTGAAAATGGAGAATACTTTGAATCATTACCTATAATAGTATCCTATAGTTACCTATAATAGTATCCTCTATGGTATAGACATCACATCTACCAATTTAGACTTATTTTCTTCTTACAGTTCAACCTGCTTTCACCTAGTTTTTCCTAGTACTACAAAATTGGTGGTTTTCATTCGTGAGCTAACTATAATTTGGTCCAAATCTGCAGGCCCTGTACTTGCTTTTACAGTGCGACTATATTGTGGAAGAAGCTATTAGCAAAAGGAAATCACAAACAAATCCACAAGCAGGTTTGTGATAATTTATTTCCCAAACTTCATTTAAAAAAGTAAATATTTGTCTTAACATAGTCAAGATATTGTGATCAGTAAAAGCTAGAAAAAAGGCTTATATCACATGGTGCGCATGTATTTTATTGTTTAGAAATGGCTCTTTGGTCTGAAGATGAGTGCAGAGACTTTGAAAGTGGTGAGTTATTACATGTAATTGTTATTACATGAAAATGTTTAAAGCTTGTAATAATTATTTAATATTTTTCAAATATAAATTATTTAATTTTTTGAGAAGATTTTTGAGAAAAACATGTCATGGCTGTACCAGTTCAGTCTGGTGGTGCAGAGGAGTGAATGCAGGTTTTCTTCTTCTTTCAGGCTTGAGAGTTTATGGGAAGGATTTTAGACAGATACAGAAAAATAAGGTAGGGTAGGCTCTGATCTATTTCATGCCCAAAATATGATGGACTGAGTTGTTAACTGGGTAAAAATGATAGAATGAAATTTGATCAACTTTGTGAAATAGTCAGTTAAACTGGATTCTTTTTCCAATCTTTTGTTAATTTATTAATATAGTACTTTTAGACCAGGTTTCCCATTCTGAAATTTAATTTTATGCTAATATTTCAATTGTTGATAGAATGTTTGTGTTTTGATTCAAGGTATGATTTGAATGGTATGAACAAGTTTCAATGTTTTGTGTTTCTGATTAAGATAGAATGAAAGTAATCATTAGACGGGTTTGGAAATTTGAACGGAAGGAAAACTCTAAACTTAAACATTTACGTATTGCAGGTTATATCACGCAGCGTGGGAGAAATTGTTCAGTTTTATTATTTGTGGAAGAAAACTGAACGTCATGATGCATTTGCTTGCCAAACAAGGTTAACCAAAAAGAAATATGCATTTCATCCTGGTATCACGTAAGTGTTATTTGAGTTTGTTTGATAAGTAAACTTGCAGTGATCTGTTTACAGAAGGAGATGCCTTATATTTTGATGTGAACATGGGGCCAAAAAAAATATTATAAATGTTATTTATGGTCTGACGGGAAACAGTTGATTTGTTTTCCCAAGAGTCCTGATGTTTCCTGAGACAAAGTTGAGGGAAACATCAGGATTCAAGGGAAAACAGCACTAACTTCCTGAGGAACCCTACATTAAGTGCTTTGTTATATATTTAGATCTTCCCTTAACCAATTATGTGCTGTTGTATTTGGCGTGTGGGTAACGACTGCGCAATTGTATCCTGGTCGTAATACATTTCAATTTGATCAGGAGCACATGACCAAGAATCAACCAATCACAGTACTTGTTTTGTTGAGTGAAAGTCTAGGTATATATATATATATATATATATATATATATATATATATATATATATATATATATATATATATATATATATATATATATATATATCTGAGTCCCCCATAATGAATTGAAACACACAACTTCAAATTTTTTGGCTACAAGTTAAAAGATGGCATGTTTTAAGCTTGGAAATTGATTTAATGGCCATGATGATGGACCGTTACTTGAGTCATTATTGTTAAACTGAGGTTTCAATTTGATTCAGGGATTACATGGACAGATTCTTGGATGAAAATGAAAGTGCTGCATCAAGTCGTGCATCCAGTCCCCACAACTTTACAACATCAAGAGCATGGCCAGGAAATGGCATCGCACCTACCACCATTCAAACCTCAAATCAGTCAGTAGCAACACAACCAGCCTATACTATTGGAGCCCCTACAGCAGCCCAGAGCACTGTTGTCACAATCAATGGCTCAAACTCCAATGCTTCATCTGTCTCATTGCCAAGGAGAGAGAGGGAATCCCATGAGAATCCTACCAACAGACAAGTGCAGCAACAGCAATCTTGCGTTCCAACATCTGTTATAGTTTCAGGTCCAGATTCTGGTGGTGAACCGCCAACCAAAAAGTTAAAAATCCTTCCTGGTTCACGGCCAAAGCTGATCAACAGCATGCTGAGTAAACCACCTCCTTTGAAACCTATTGTGTCAGCAGGATCTGGGGCATTCCATCCAAATAATCTAGGAAGTGTACCATTGCCTCCAACAAGTGTTTCAAGTTTTAACACATCAAATTCTCATGAACCTTCTTATCTACCTGTGCAAAACACACCAGCTGTTACAGATTCTCTTCTCTTTACCCACAACAAGTGATGTCTGCTCAGACTTAAAATGGTGTTACTGTCACATTTGCTGGTGCAGATGAATACCCATCAGTGAACTTCACAAAGAAGAAGTTGTTTCACAATGCAGATGCCTTTTCTCTACTCCCAAGCTTTTGGGCTAAATACAACTTAAGGCTTTTACACTAATATTAATGTTACAATTAGTTAATTCTCCCTTGTGTCTGCTATATATTTCCATGTAAATTAATTCACAAGGCTTTGGTGTTAGATCAAGACAACAACTTCTACCTGATAAATTTGAGTATTCTCATAACCTGTTTGTGGGATGATGTGTGGGATATTATAGGGAGAAGTTATATGTTAATCACTTCGAGGAGTTAAAGGGTTGATGGACACTTTCCTAAAGCTGACATATCTTCCTACAGCCATGTCAGCAAAACTCTATCAAGTTGCATAGTACCCTAACTTTTAAAGGCTCCTGGCACCTATGTAAACCTACTGTGTACAAAGTTGAATATTAGTAAGAATTAATGTACATTGCATTATCATAATCCTGTGGCGTTATGAAATTATTTATTAAATCTGGCCATGAAAGAAAGTTACATTGTCCCAAATATTTGGTCGGACAGAGGAAGGTTTTAATTAGAGAGTTTTAGTCAGAGTTTTTTTGTTCATTGGACAGTATTTTCACTGTAGGGATCTTTGAATTTTTGCTCATTGTAGTATTGCAGACTGTACAACTGGTTTTCAACCTGCAAAATGTTGGTAGCTAATTTAGGTTGTAACTAACAAATTAGGCTGCTGGTTGAAATTTCAAGTGAGGCAGTTCAAAGATAGAGTTTGATATTGAATAATTGTTTGTGTACAACTTCAGGAGTGCCTATTTTGCTTTTCCAAGTGATCTAGGCCAGAAATCCAGCCAGCAATTGCAGATTTGCTTTCCAGGAAAATTTTGCTATCCTGCTGACTGGCTGTTGGCTTCCTCAGCCTGAATTTATTTATTTTCCCTATGAGGATTCAGTTTATTTTGAGTGTTTAGTGCAAAAGTTATAGTAATATTTTTCCTCCTAGCCATAATTTTAAGATGCAGAATAACTCTAAGACTTTCATTTTTAAAACTGCTGTAAATGCTATTTTTCCTTGAGGAGAGGAGCACTTGTGGATGTTAATTCAAAAAATCTGCTGGTCAATTTATCACAACTGCTCCTTTTTTCTTTCGAAAATTATTGGGTGTTTTTAATGACTTTTTTTTAAGGGTGCAACCTAAAGTATTTGCTAGTTATATTTCTTTAAAAAACTTTAATGCTGGGCTTATCAGAGAATTCCATAGGTTCGATGGAGTTGTTTGATGGATATAAAGGACAGATGTGAGAAGTCACTTTTCCCTCTTTCAAAATTTTAAATTGAATAAGCAGTTACCTAATAATGAAGTTTGTTATAATTATAATAATTGTTATATTTGGTAGACTAGGGATAAGAACTGACCTATCCAATTACTGATGTATCCAGTGTGTGATGTAGTGTTTTGAAGTTTGGTTTTTGCAGTAACACTCTTTGAAGTTTATACGTAAGGTGGTAAATTCAATTTTCCCTTGCCAAATCAAAATGTGATTTATCCAGGAAAGTTATGACTTTCTGTTCCATTACTACAAATCTTGTCAAAATTTTTAATAACTTTTTGAAAAGGGGCATGTTTCCTCATGAACAATCAGTAATGATTAAGAAATGTGTTTCTCTTCATAAATTTTTTTATTTGACGAGGTGCATAAGAAATGAATGCATGGGTTTCTGTGCCATAAAATTGGCAAATACAAAGGAAACATAAATGCAAAGACTTTTTCTTTTCCTAGCATAAGAAAAACAAATCATCTATGGCTGATTGCTTTCATGCTAAAACTGATAATAAGAAGGAAAATTTGTATTTTGGTTAACAACAATAATACTGTTTATACTAAAAATCATTAAGGCGATCTTTGGCTTAAATGTATAATAAAAATACACTGTTGTCAGCTTGGTGGGATTTATTTTAGGTTTGTAAGCTGGGTGAGCTGTTACTCTATTGAAATCATGCAATTTTATTTTGTATGCACTCCAAAGAACTACCTTGGATTGATTTCAATGATAAATATATATATCCTATTTAGATGTTTTGGTGTGTAGTATCACTGGGTATTTTTACCAGTTGTGCAAAATACAGACAATGAGTTACTCAATGATACTAAATACAAAAACATCTAATAAGTTATTTAGTATCCAAATGCTTTATTTCACATGCATTTCTTAAAGAGTGAGAAGGGAGAGCTGATTGGAAAGTGTAGCACACTTAGCCAACTGGTTAAACAAGTTTTTTTTTTAACCATAGAAAATAACTGACTGTACAATATTGCAGGATATTTGTACTTGATTCACACATCATTTGTACTTTACTTGATGCAGTTGGATAATACGATATATTAATTTAAAAAGTATTGAACAAAGGTCTTCAGAGATCAGTGTATTTGTTTCAGTTGCTGTCATTATTAAGGTTCATTGTAAAATTGTAAATTTGAACTGTGACAGTTTCTCATAAAGATAACCATGGCAACACCCAGATATGTAGCCTTACTATTTGGCTTGAATAATACTATTCAATTTCAAAGTCTTTCTTTGTTCTCTGTTTCTTTGAAAGGTTAAAATTCCCTGGCTCATTAGAGAATGGGAAGCTATTAAAAACTTGGCCTGCAGAGCAGGCATAATTTTGGTTAGAAAGTGTTCAGTTTTTTCTTAACAAAAATTACTGCTGCCATCTTTGATTTAAATGGCAGTGAGGGCTTGGGGGAGAATGGAATTTGTACCAAGGGGGTAGGCCACAGTAAAAAACCCAGAAGGGTGGAGGAGAGGGGGTGAAGTTTGCACAGTCAGCAAGATAAGATTTGATGTATAATGTGTTAAGTATGCAATTCTTTGATGGGAAAACCTTCAATATTAAAAAAAAAAATTGTCAAACTTTCAAATACATTGGCATTACACTTAATGCTAAATAACACCTCACCCAAACGAAATCAGCAGTTGAGAAAAAGGAAACTTACTTTTCATTAACCCCTTCACTTCTAAGATCTCATTAATAATTCTTATTAGTAATTGTCATTGCTGTCATACAATTATTATGATGTTACAGCAGTTTGGAGAATTTGGTCTTGGATCAACCAATAATTCCCTAATTTACATTTTTTTATTCTCATCACTTGTCTGCTTGATATTGTAGTAATATTGTAGGGAGAAATTCTGTCTTGGTCACTAGTGGGAGTTAAAGGGTTAAATGATTTCACAGATGTGCAGTCTGAGTGAGCCACTGGTAATCCATTGGTGAGTGAGCAAGGTTTTCAGTAATAGCTGCTTACTGGCAGCCTACCACCACCCATAAGACCTCTTACTGCTGTCTGTTAAGCCTGCAGGCTGGAACTCCTGTTTGGGATTTGCCTTGCAGCCTGATTACTGGGTGTAACTGCTCACTGTGTCTAATATACCTTTGCTAGCCACTAATATAAAAAGTTATCGAAACTCATGAGCTAACCTTGTATGAAACAGCCCTCCTTACTGCTTAGATCAGTGCAATGTTCAAAGCAGCATTTGAAGAAACTTCAAAGGGTGTTCATACTCTGGGCCTGGTTCAAAGACTGATTAGGGCTAACCCAAGGTTAAATTGTAATCTGAGGTTCCTAATTAGTCCTTTGTTCAAAAAGGCTCTATTGGGCAGTTTTCTCTATTCTTTATAGAGCATCCAATCATCGAATTCTGTACAAAAAGAACTCTACTAAATATTCTTTTAAAGCTTTCAGATCTGAAATCAGATTTCTCACTAACCCTGGGTTAGCTAAACCCAACTTTGAATGAACCGGCCATGTTGTTTCCTATGAGTTAACACATTCTTTTCCTGTCCACTTCTTAGGTAGGAGATGGCATTTTTTAACCCGTTACACATACTTTCTTGAGTGTTCAGAAAGTTAGGCTTCAATCAAACGGCAACACGCAGTATTATCTTTGCACTTGTGATGACAGAGGATACTGTAAAAAACAGATGTCAGCATTTAACACATACTGCATTTGGTCTAGTTGAGCGCTTCATTCCATTGTATCCACCATCTTAACTGCGACATGGTAACCAGCGACAAGGACAAAGATCCAGGCTAACATCACAAGGCTGGTCACAAACTGAGAAATAATATGCAGGGTTTACGTGAGTTGTAGACTACACTTTACATTGGAGTGGAGCCATGTTGAATGACGAAAGGATGGTTAATCATTTCTTTTAGTTTGAAGCTAGAAATTTAGCTTACCAATGTGGGTAGTAGTTCTTTCAGTCGATAACCCATAGCTTAGTGTACTTTTATTTAAACAGAGATGTCAGAAGAGGATCCTTCTTGCATTTTATTTTTGTCCGAATGTGCGCGCACGCAGAGAAATAGGAACGCGGTTATCATTTTTGACCATGCTCACTACCAACACCTCAAAAACGCTCATCTCCAGTCTTTTGCTGCCAAGAAGCCTAGCAACGTTTACTAGATATGAAATCTTTAGTAGTACTCGCAGTGGGCGATAAATAATATCACGATTTCACCTTTAACTTTTTCAAACATATCGTTAAAGAAGAATTAAAGTGCGATCTAACTAGAACTATTTGCACTGCAGCCATGAATCGGAGCGAAGTGAGGAAGAAGGCCTCCATGTAAGTCATAACAGATAAAAGTTTCTTGTTGATGTTTTCTTAAAAGTACAAGATACAGCTGAATTATTTCTAAACTTAGAAAACCTGGAGGGGGAGCCGCGTCCATTAACATGAATGCCAGCCGTAAAAGCAGCCACAGTTTTGGTAGCAGAAGCATAAGAACGATCGGGGGAGGTTCAAGGAATAATCTGTTTAATTCGTCAAGTCGTAAGAGCGTAGCGATTGATTCAAGCAGAGGTGATAAACCACAGTCGAAACCTCCAGTGCAGGTAGGATCGAGATTTGTACCGAAAGATAAACTGTACCCTCGTATAGAAGAGAATCAAAGGTGTCAACAAACTTGTCCGTGTTCATATAAAAACCATGGAATTGATTAATCGATTAATTGACATACGACAGCTACAGCATTGATGGATTTTTCCGTTCATAATTTAGAGATTTGAGGTGACCTTAAATTGTACGTACGGCTTTAGATCGCAACAGAAACTTAAATTAGATCAATTCGTAATAAAAAACAAGGTAAGTTTTCCACACAGCCCGACAGTTCTTTATGAATACAGCTTTTGGATAAATAAAACAATGGCGAAACAATAGATTGCCTTTAATTTGGGACTGTGACGCTATAATTCCTGTACTAAATTCTTTAATTCCCTGTACTGTACTTCCATGCAAAGGATTTTGGAAAAGGATCATGCACAGGTCATAAATTGATTCTCAAAGGGCACAAATTTTAGACTTGAACAAGGTTCTAAGATCTGTGCTTTTACGCTCTTTAAAGATCTGTGGGATCATCCAAGTTCCTTTAGATTCTTCACAGGTTTATTTTTGAGGGCATTGTAAAATTGGCACAAACTGCATTTGATTCTTAGTAGGTTGATTTTACTGTTGATCAAATTATCTCTTGGTCAAAGGTGTTTGATGACATGGGGCAAGATGTCACTCCAAAGAGTCTTCTTCAAGTTGATCCTGCTGTCAAGTGAGTTGTTTAAATTGCAGGCAATTTATTCGTTGATAAGATGTGATTATGATAGTTGCAATAATTATTTAAATCAATAGTCATTTTACAGTGATAAGAATGTGAGTATTAAATAGATAAGATGGATTCCATTTTGTCATGCATCTGTTCAGTGATAAATCATAGATGATGTCAAAATGCAGCAAGAACAAAAAACTGGCACATAAGGCACAGGGAAGTGTGTCATGTGTAATAATCTTACCTTAGCCTGCAGAGCAGACGTCTTATTAGTGTGAGCTAACATTACAATCTCTTGTTCTTTTATCCAACTGGCCATGTTTGATTTGGAGTTAGGGGGTAGGGCAAAATCCTCACTTCTCCAACCCTACCCCTCTCCTTATTTTTGACTGATTACGCCCCCTTGGTACAAATTTCTTTCTCTCTCCAGCCTTCTACCACAATTAAAATCAAAGATGGTAGCCACAATTACAATTGCTCTGCAGGCTAAATCTTACCAAATTTTGACATCATCTGAGATCTTTTGCATTATAAACCCACAACAAAATGAAATTTATTTGTTTTATATGATAATTAAATAAGCAAGATGTTGTCAGTGGCAACACCTTCTGTGGGTCTGTCCTGTAACAGATCATAAGTAAGAACCAAGCAAAATTTGTGTTTAATTCAGTTTATCAGATAAAATTAGAATATTCAGTAATAGTTGTGTTACTAAATTCCTCTCATGCATGGGTACAGTATGAGACAATCAGTTTGTTTTAAGGTGTTGATTCAGTTGCAAGATTGTGAATTTTGTCAGCTGAGAGTTAATGAGCATCTTACAAAATACTCAAGGTACTGTTCTGTTTTCTTATTGAAGGAGAAATCAGAGTAACACTTTTTTTACTGGTGGAGAATCCATTGCTACGGTAAAGTCTTTCCATCTTGCTGTAGAATCACTGCTTTTCTTAACAATAAGATACCCTTACTTAATACATTTACTTCAACCATGAGTAACATTATTCAAATGTGATATAGTTTTGCTTCACTGGTTTATGTTGCATGACTTGCACGACAGAATCACCATTTACTTTTCCTCAGTAGGCTCAAAAAAAAAGTAAAGATTTCACTTTATGTCTGAAATCTTACTCTGGCCGAAGCCATGATCTGTAACGGCCATTTCAAATGACCAGTGTAGAGGGAGGGTGGCTGTTATGAAAAGTTTTAGGTGCAAAACATCACCCTGTACAGATGAAAATTATGCTATCTATTTTGCATCAAATTTGATGCTTTCTGGAATAGTAAAAGTTTATTTTTTGTAAATATCTCTTCCAGGCTCACGTTTACCTTTAAAAAACTCTACACATTAACATCAGTATGCATATTCTCCATACTGTTCTCTAAGATATTTCCCAGGAAGGTGACAAGGAGAATTTGTTTAACAATCAAGAGCTGCTTTAGTTGGTGATCATTTCCTTTATTCTCATGACATTAACGTTTGATTCAGAGGTGATATTGTAAGGAGAAATTACATGTAGATGCCAGTCACACTCAGGGGTCAAGGAATTAAATAACTGAATGACAGAATTTCATACAAATCCTTTTATTTCTTATAGCCTTCCGTAGCCTCTGAAGTGACTGGTCAGTCCTTCTACGCCGCCAGCAGTGCCAGTATGTATGGTGGCTTCTCGCGATCTGTGTTTGGTTCAGTGTCTGGTCGATCATCTCCTGAATCAGTCAGCGAGGATCTAGCTGAACCTAGCTCTGGCTTCCGCGACAAATTTGCAACATCTCTTGGAGGTAATAACGTTAATAGAGGAAGGGAACCATGCAAGATTTATGAACAGGGGATCCCAGGGCAGCATCCCTTTAAGGGCATATCGGAATTTTTCTTTCGGATAAAAAACATTACGCGCGTTTTGCAAACTGTTAAAATCTTTTCAAGTATCTTTGTGATAATGTCTAAAGATTTACAACCATCTTTTACCCTTACAGAAGATTTTAAATGACTGAAGAAAGGACCTTAGGAAAGAGGTCGAGGAAATCTTGTTCCGTGAATTTTAACTACGAAATCATTAATACCTTTGTAGCGAAATTTCCTTCCATTTTTTTTTCCAGAGGTCTACAGCTGTATTATTCATTAACATAAAACGTGACTCTTCATTTTCTTTTCGTTGCCTCTAGACATTCAGACACGCCCAACTTTCATTCGAGAGGAACTCACAGAAAAAGATCTTGATAAAATGGTAATGCCCATGCATTAAATGTATGTATAATGTATATTTTTAGTCACAATGTCGCGAAATTGGCTGGATGTGTTTGCCGTCTCTTACATCTGTACCTCAATTTAGCGTATGTTAGCAGCATTGATTTTCAATTGGAAACTTAAATAATTTGCCGTCGCACTCTCTCTTCTCAGACCACGCAAATTCTGTTGATTTCGCGTTGTTGTTTTAAAGAAGACGGCAAAGGAATGTACAAGCTAAGCTATTGTCCTGTTCACTAGATATTCTGTTTTGCCATCTCCTCATAACCATCGGCGTCGTGATTTGCTTAATGTATCGCTTGAATCGAGCCCCAGTCTTGAAGTTTTTTAAACGGAGTTTCGAGGTTTGAGTTTCAACCAACAGTTGCATGAGCACATCTTTAGACACAGCTGTGTAAATCGTACTGTGTGATGGGCGGCATTGCTCAAATTTATGAGTAATATTTTATATTTTTACCAGGTTCACATCACACTTACTGAAACAGATACAATCTGGATGCTGGATTTTCCAGGCACTTGTGTTGGAGAGGATAATGAAATTGCAGAGAGCGTAAAGGAAAAAAACCAAAGATATGATGAGGTATTTAGACATATTAGCACATGATTGCATTCAGAAAGATTAAATTATCTTTCAATACTCGCGTCACCAGAATTAGACAATTTTGCGTTCAGACGTTTCAATCTGATTTTGGATAGTCCCGACGCATTTCTGACAGTCCTTCCTTTTTCAGATTGTTCCAACCCCCTCAAAGGCGGTCGCTTTCGTTTTGGCCAGTGTTGCCTTGTTTCAGACTGATTTCGCACGATTCCCTGAGGCTATAACGTTTTCCCGTTATTTCGGATAGGTTGCATCCGATCTCGGACATTTCCTTCCAGGTCGGATCATTTCCGTCTGACTTCGGACGATTTCGTCTGATTTTGGATGTACCCGTGCACTTCCGTGCTTTTTCGGACGGATTCGTCTGATCCTCGGATTTCTACTCCCTCCCTATTGCTATCCGGCCACCCTCGATGCTCATTAGGATTAATCGTTAACAATCCTCTTTCATTATATTTTGTGGTAATCCTTCCTTTTCCTATGTAGCTTTTAAAGAACCGTGTTGGAAACGACAGTTATGTAGAGAGAGGGATGCAGACTTTCAACAATGGCCAGAAGAGTAAAGAAATACAGTCTAGTAAAGTGGAACTTCATGTGAGAAATTTTTTGATGTGTTTTTTTTTAGTGCAAGTTTGAATGGGGTGTCGAAAGGAAACCGGGATTGTTATAAATTTACTTACACATTTCTCTGAAAATATCTCTATAAAATCTGCGTCAACCTCTTAACCAATCACATATCAAACTCAAACTAGCTTGCGAGCAGCGCCTCGGCACCAACGTTTCTACGGGAAAGTTTGAGGCCTCTAGCATGAGCGTGCGCTTGGGAGAAGACTGTAAAGGGTCTAGCAATGATTATTAGTACAAGAGCCCCGGCCAACCTCTGTCCGACTGGTCTAAAATCTTCCCCTGGGCGAAGGAACGCGCTTCTCGCCTCGCCACTTAGACTAAACCAATAGCGATTTTGTTTGGGTTTTTACTTTGGTGTTTACTTTGACTTTTATTAGCTCAGTGTGATATTTTTCTTTGTTTTGATCAGCCGTAGCGTTTAATTTGGTTTGGTTACACGCCTTTCATGACTCTGATCTAACTAGGTGTTTTAGTGTTAACAACTGAGTCGAAAACGTAAACTGGCCACCGTAAAGAGTTAAAAGGCTGACGTTTCGAGCGTTAGCCCTTCATCAATCGCTCTGGAAGGGCTAACGCTCGAAACGTCAGCCTTTACACTCTTTACGGTGGTCAATTTACGTTTTTAACTCAGTTGTTAACGCTAAATTACCAATTATGCTCTCCCACCGACGCAGCACCACAGTTTCTTTAGAAACTTACCCCCTTTATTCTAAATAACTGAGGGCTCCTTTTGCCGCAAACACCCCAGAGATTCAGAGTTCTGCACCACATTTAATGTGTGCAGAAACTTGAGTCGCTGAGGTTTGGCTTTTTGCCTCAGACGCCTTGTATACTGATTAGATAACAAACTATTTAGCAACAGGAGACTGTTGCGGTGATAGGCATGTTTCAGGCACACTGTTACTTCCGCCTCTGATTACATTCAATAGTCCTCAAAAAACATAAAAGATTCATAAATCGTTATGATGATTTTCATTGTATTCCCTGATACAGGAAGTTGGCTGTGTGGCTTCAACTTGGGATATGTACGATACGTATAATTCAGAGGAAAACAAACAGGAAGGTATATTTTCCTAATCTTTCACGAAGACTCTGTAGCGATGAGACGTTATTTTTGCGATTGCAGTGGCCTCAAAGGTGAAAATTGTACTAGTTGCGGCAGAATCTTTCCAGTCCTGGTATTTTTTTCACTTGGAAAGGTTATTAAAAGGGGTTATCAGAGATCTCCAGAAGCAAAAGCGGCCGGCGTTTACACCGATTACATTTTGTGTCTGAAGTGCCAACTACTCCAGTACGACAAAGTGGTTTAAGTCCTGTCTTGATCTGAAATAAGTTTCAAATTTCCATTTGTTTTCATATGTACCCCCTACCGCAAAAAAAAAAAAGAAAAAAGAAAAAAGAGAGAGATCGATTTAAAACTGCAAAGAAAACCATTAGTAAAAGGTAAATAGTTCCATGAGGAATTGATGCTGGCACTCGAGCACTGTTCGAGTATTTATAGCCGGCAACTGTTTTTTGTTTTGTTTTTGTTCTTTTTTTATGGCCGGCTACAAGAAATTATAATATCTCGCCATAATAATAAAAATGTATATATAAAAGAACACTGGCTTATTCTGAATTTTTCAGGCGGCGACAAAGATGAAGGAGATGCGGATCATATGGAAAGTCTTAGTCGGCCAGTCAGTGGAGAACGAACCAGCAGCCATGATGATAATGAAAGTGTGGGTTCTGTGAGGCCGGCCAGCGGAGCGTCAGGCAGTATAACGGGTAAATAGCGTTGTTACTGCTGCCATTATGATAGAGGAGATGTGGAGCAGGGCCTCACCATTAGTGCTTCGGCACGAGTGTTTCTTCTCCTGCGGGAAAGTATGAGGCCTTGAGCAACGGAAGCTGGCGAGAGGGTCTGGTGTAGTCAAGCATTTATAAGTGCCAGACCCCGGCAAACCTCTCCTTGGCTCGTCGCAAATCTTCCTACAGCGCTTATGATGAGGAACTGTTCGTAAACTATTAATGAAGAAAAATAGTACAAAAAACATGAAACATGTTTTGTTACTCAAGAGCAAAGTCTTAATTTTTTTTCTAACAGGAAGTCGAGCGAGTATGTTCACTTTTAAGAGCAGTTCTGTCGAAGAAGAAGGACCCGAGAGGACTGATGAAGGAGCAACGGAGAAGGAGTTGGAAGACATGGCTGCTATCATGGCTGAGAGAATACTTCAGGTCTACACGCGTTAGATTATTTTCATTCTTTACGCGGTTCGTCTCAAAGCTTAACCATCTTTTTGGTAACCTCACGCATGGAATTATGCACAGTACAGGGATGCTCAGTGCATTGATAGGGAATGGCCGAGTGAAGTTTGTTCGTTTATCCGTTTATTTGTGTTGTTTTCTCAAAATACGACTGTCAACGTAAAATCTCGCCCATTATTGGGGTCGAAAAATGGATACCCTCCCCTCCCTTCTTCTTTCCTGTCCCTACCATCTCCTCCGTTCCTTTCCGAAAGAAACTTTGTCCTACTGCCATTCGTTTGCACGTTTTTATGGCCTAGTTATTTGAGAGAGGGGTGGAGGTGGGAAGGGGGGTTTTCCACCTCAGAGAAACCCGAGCACATGTGAACACTGCACTTGTTGATAGAGTCAAAGCCTAAATGTCGTTCGTTATTAACTTAATGCATGATCTAAACTCTCTTCAACTCTTTTTTCAGTCCGAAAGTATGCAAAAGGATCTCTTTATAATGGAGCGAGCCATAGCTCTGAATATTTATCAGCCCAGACAAGCAAGGTACAGGGGATTGGACGTTGTCCCAGGTAAATCTCGTTATGTGATTTCACGTATTGTTAAACGAAATCAAAATATTCCCATATGGAAGATCTTTTTCGTCTTGTTACAAGCTTCGGACAAAGGAAAAATTCAGATTCCCCATAAGGAATCAAACCTCAGACCTTTGGATTCCGCGCTTCGATGCTGAACCACTGAGCTTCAGAGAACTCTGTGGTGAGCGAGGTCATTTCTGGATTCATACGTGACACGCGTCCTGCATACTGCTAGGACCAGCAATGTCGAAAGCGTCATTTTGCGAGAACTAATTAGTGACCCACAAGCCGCCAGCGAGTGTGTTATCGACGGGCCTCAAGAGCCTCTATTGATCAGAGTCTATTAAAACTCCGTCGGCGACACAGATTTCAAAACCTGTGACGCGCAAATACAATCTTAGCTGTCGAAGATCGCTGCAAATCAAATTCAGTGCTCATTCAAGTTTCCATATTCAATTTATTGCGCACTCAAGAATTCCGAAACGTGCCTGAAGATGTTCTTAGTAGCAGTGGCTGTGGATTTAAGCAATATTCTCTAATCCATCGAATCATATCAAATGTCCATCGAATATTTTATTTAGTTCTCATTCAACTTTCCCTAAACACACCTGGAGAGGTTCTCAAGGGCAACGCATTCGCGTAATAGTTCTCTAATGCAAAAACTCTTTCAAGTTTTCTGAAATGCGCTTGGAAATGTTCTCAGTAGCAGCGCATTCAAGCAATATTCTCCAATCCATTGAATCTTAGCTGTTTTCCATATTTTTCTCAGTGCCTATTCAAGTTTCTCGAAGCGCGCTTGCATAGGTTTTCAGTAGGATGCATTTGAGTAACATTCTCTAATCCACTGAATCTTTATTTTCGTTCGTTATCGCTAGACATTGATGTAGAAAAATCCGATGGTGAAGAAGCCAGTTCTGCTGCCGCTACGTTGGCACAATTGGGACCGAACCTTCATAAATTATGGAGCTATTCCTGTAATCTGACCAAAGGACGTAATGTCAGCTGCCTAGCTTGGAACAAACTTAATCCCGTAAGTAGTCATCTTTTGAAAAGGGAGATGAAAGATTTGAGCCATTCGGAGAATTCAAACCTGAGCCGGGGACATTTTTCTGGCTCGGCCATATACTAGGTTCATACCAAGACTATAACAAAATTCTCGAACGTGATTGGTGATCACCAGCCCGATTTGAGCACTAACAGGACAGTGTACGCGACATGCTTATAATTGGACAGTGAAAGGGACTGTTAACACGTTATGTCTGTGGAAGTGGACAGAACTTTTCTCCGAGTTAACTGTTGTTGTTGTTGATGTTGTCGTCGTCTTTGTACAGCCGACGTCTAGTTTCTTTCTCAAAATTTGTTATAGTTTTGATTAATTGGTAACAGGACTTCGTGTCGTCCAATTCTGTCTTCAATCATACTTGTGATGGCAGACAGGATTGGACTCCACTCGGTCCTGTTACCATTATAAATGGTATCGTCGAGAGCGTCGTCTGATTGATTGAAATACGAAGGAATCGTCCTCAATGGTGAGCTCTAGTTAAATATTTCGCAGTGCTTCCTAGATACCAGTTAGACACATCTATGAACCGAGCTACTAAACAGTTTGTTGAGATCGACGTAAGTTTATGGCGGTCAGTCTTTGCTCTCGTAAAGGAATCTGATCGCAGCAAAATAAATTTGATGAGATAGTTCATTTTGAGCTCGGTGGTGTAGTAAAAACGAAAAAAAACCAAACAAACATGACGACAACAGCAACAACAACAAATGTAGCAATTTAACTGATATTTATGATTTTATTTCAAACAGGATATCCTTGCCGTGGGATATGGTGAGTTCGTGTTTTCTGAGCAGAAAGGTGGCCTAGCTTGTTGTTGGTCCATTAAAAACCCTGAGGTAATACAACAAAACAATTTGATTTTATACTTGAAACGAAACCCAATTTCAAATCACGGTCTCTGGTGGGTGATTTCACCATTGTCCCATTGGACACTAGTGTCCGATTTTCGATTTTGGGCACAAGTGGCCGATATTTGATTGTCGATTTTGAAAAGTATGGCCGATTTTTTATTTTGGACACCAGTGGCCAATTTTTTTTATTTTGTACCCTAGTTGCCGAGTTTTGATTTTAGACCCTAGTGGCCGATTTTCAATTTTAGACCCTAGTGGCCGATCTTTGCTTTTGGACCCTAGTGGCCAATTTCGGATTTTGGACACTAGTAACCGATTTTCAATACAAGGACCCATTTGTATATACTGGTGGGCGAGTTTAGACACTATTTTGGACTTGTTACGACTACGTCTGGTGTTAGACATTTTTAGAACTTATTACGTCTTTTTATGCAGTGTCTGATGTCGGTGAATAATGTCCTATTTTGGAGACATCAGTTTCTGATTTCGTCTTATTTTAAACTTTGGTTTTCTCATGTAGTATCCTGAACGTATCTTTCATCTGGACAGCGGAGTCACTGCTGTTGATTTTTCAGCGGCTCATCCTAATCTTTTAGCAGTAAGTATTAGCTTTCTCATCCACAACCACGAAGGCCTGGTAGCAAGCGGTCTTATTATTTGGGTTCTAACCTTTGTTTTGTTACCTCGTACGCTTTAACGATACCAAAAGGACACTTCTTCCCAAAGATAGTTCTTCCCCCCCCCTCCCCTCCCCTCCCTACTAAATGGTATTGAGGCCAAGATGGGGGGGGGGAACCTACAATGAATTAGGGGGTAGCACTTCCCCTTTTCCTTACATGCTACAGCAGACCAGGAAAAACTTTAGTGGCTATGTATTTAGTTCAATATGAAGACCTCCCTACTAAATGGTATTGAGGCCAAGATGGGGCGGGGGGGGAACCTACAATGAATTAGGGGGTAGCACTTCCCCTTTTCCTTACATGCTACAGCAGACCAGGAAAAACTTTAGTGGCTATGTATTTAGTTCAATATGAAGACTTACCCTTTTTTTTCTTGGGGGTGGTGATGGGGGGGGGGGGTTCGGGGGGGTTAACCTTCAATATATTAGCATCTTATCCAGGGCAAGAAGTAGAAATTTTCTTAGTCAAGGAATGCTACAGAAACATGGATTTTTTTTCAGCGAGATACGCAGTCAGGCTCGTATGTAGGCTCGACGACATATATGTCACGGTTTTTTTTATTTTTAAGTCCTTTATTGGAGTTTGTGCCAGTAATACGCTTTTTGTCTCCCGTCAGGTTGGCATGTATGATGGTACGATTGCTATCTACAATGTGAGAAGTCGGAGTGATACACCGGCTCTTGACAGTTTGTAAGAACTATATCTTTTGTGAATGTATGGAACGTCCCTCCCTTCCCTTCTTAAAAGGAGAAACGAGAAATACGAGATCCATGCTTTTCTTCTATTGATGAATGTTACGAAGTGCAATTCGTTATCTCAAATGCGGTGATCTTGCACGTTAAAAACAAAAAAAAAAAACAAAAAAGACAGAAAAACACAAAAACCAGTGTCTTTCGAGCAGAAGTCCGCCCTGAGATTGTCCTGAGTAATGGACTACAGTCAAATTTCAGGGCAAGTACTTGCAACTGACTGTTTGCGCTGGAAGATGCTTGCGACTAAATCAAGATTTTTTCCTGGTAATATCATACTGGTTCCTTAGTTGACGCGGAACTCTTAAATAATAACGGAGAAAACTAGAAATTTTCAGACAGACAGCGGAGTCTTCTTCCCTTCAGCCTGTCATTTGACTGTCGTAATTATTTATTGGCTTCTTACATCTATGGTGAAGTTACGAACAGTTTTTGTTTGTTGTTGTTGTTTTTTCGGAAAGTGAGAGCCAAGGTAAACATTCGTCACCAGTGTGGCAGGTTCGCTGGGTGGATAGAGACCAGGGGTCTGGTGAGGAGAGAGACGAAATTCTGATCTCCATCTCAGCAGATGGCCGGGTTACCAAGTGGTCCATAAGAAAAGGATTTGAATGCACAGGTGAAGATTCAGTTAACTTTTTCGACTCCTAAAACATGACGTTTCGTTGACTTCATGTCACCATTATCAAACTCGAACACTGATCGGCTGATAAAGATATTGCTTTTTTCTTGTCTTTAAACAGATTTAATGAAATTGAAACGGATAAATGTCACTGAAAAGTCGAAACAAGGAGGAGGAAAGAAGAGCGATGCTTTGATATCGAGGTTTTCCGCTGGGTTCTGTTTTGATGTTCACCCTAACGACTCCAACATGTTAGTGCATTTATTTACATTGACAATTTCTGTTGCTGCGCTATCGGTTAGATCTCTCATTTCTCGTGTTCATGTCCAACGGAATCATGATTTGGGACAACTGATTTAAAGGGGGATTCTTCTTTGGACACGTTTTTCGGGAGGGGCTACGAGATACTAAAATCCCAAATCTTCAATTTATCAGCATTCATTTGGAATTATGCGTTAGGAATTGCTTGTAAACATTTGCCTGAAAACAAGCTATTGGTAGTTTTAGAGTGGGACGTTTATAATTGATATTTTTATGAACGGAGTAACTTTTTGAAAAAAAAAATTGTCTGTTCCTCTACAGAGTAAGTTAACAGTTGAACTTGAAGTATATATTGATTTGATTAGTTTATTTTTTGTACCAGGTATCTTGCCGGTACAGAGGAAGGCCACATTCACAAATGCTCTTGTTCTTATAACGAGCAATATCTGGAAAGTTATCATGGACACACGGTACGTAACAGATAGTAGAAATGTTGATTAGTCAAATAACGGTAGTTGAAGTGTGATATTTGTAAACGATATTCCAAATGATACCCTCTGAAGCAATGTATTCAGGAATTTTCAAAGAGTGTCGAACTATATCCAGGATTGGATTGCTTTTGCTTTACTTCGCTCTGTTGTTGATCTGGGAAACTCTCTCCACTTTCTCAACCAATCATAAACGAAATTAAAACCAATCGTCTCTTGGTCATTCTGGTGTTCCTGCCTTCCTGTTTAGGTGCAGTTAAGTTAGGACGCGGCGTGGCCGAGTCGTTAGGGCGCTGGATTTGTATTGTGGTGGTCCCGGGTTCAAGTCCTCCACCCTGCCATTCACTGCATTTGTTCTCGGTCGCCCCGAGTTCAACCCCTCGGCCGCGCTGTTTAAATAGCCAACTGGTTTGCCTCCTGCCAGTTGGGATTTTCAAGCACTCTTTTATTTGAAATATTTGTTTCTTTCTCCTTCTTTCTATCGGATAGCGATAGAAACAGCGCTATACAAATAAAAGTATTATTATTAAGTGTTATTCTCTGTGATGTTTTCCTTTGACCTATTTGGCCGTTCTGATAACGTTGCTCTTGGTTTTACGACACTCAGTCGGAAAGCGATGTAGTTAACGATTACACCACGAGTTCGAGATTTTTTTTAGACTGCATTAAATCGAGAGCGAATAATCCCCTTTCTTTGATACAAATCTGTTAATTTAGTGATGGAGCATCTGTCGAAATGTGCTCCAACACACACATTTATGCTTTGCTACTAAAGCTGAGATATAGGTATCTAACACCGAGGTTTTCATGTAGGGTCCAGTGTACCGCATGCAGTGGTCTCCGTTCTTGTCTGACGCCTTCCTAAGTTGCAGTGCTGATTGGAGCATTAGGCTGTGGCATCAGGATAAACGACAGCCTATCATGTCATTCTTTTCCTCCACTGTAAGTAACACATACAGGTTCATTGTGCTGATGGTAGTTAATTAGATTGATTAATGAGATCGGACTCCTCGATTTAGAACCCCCGACAAGTATATTGGAATTTTCCTTTAACTACTCAGACTACGCTCTCGACATTGCAATTTGTAATGGTAAGAAGACCGAGTGGAGTCCATTTTGGTCCGTAAGCATACGAGTGATTAACAAAATCGGACGACCGCAAAACAGGAGTCCGATTTGTTAATTACGAGTATGATTACAGACAGAATTGGACGACACAAAGTCCTGTTACAAATAATTCAAAACTTTGACAAAAGTAAAGGGACTCATTACCTTTCGGTTAAAAATTTTCATAAGTTAAGAAATATTAGTTTAATTTTTTTCCACATAAAATAAACCCCATTAGTCTATATAACAACGTGCGCAGAAGGCGCATTCTATTTAATGGCAAGGTACCGCCCTATTAATGTTCAAATCTGGCTTCTGATAATCAGTCAGGTTTGAGAATTTTGGTAAATTTTTTTTTGTTTGTTTCTTTGCAGAAATCAGTAAATGACATCTGTTGGTCACCTTCATCAGCTACTCTGTTCGCATGCGTGAATGATAAGGCCGTAGAGATCTGGGATTTAAGCCTTAACACGTAAGCAACTATTACAGTGGAGATATATCTAGTTATACTATAAATTGAGTGACACGCGCTCTGTAATTGGTCGTTGCTCCTGATGTAAATGTTACAAATTGCAAGCAGCGTCAAAGGGTGCTAAGCGCGGGAAAACATGCCAGGGACGCCAGGCACGGGAAATGCACGACAAATTCCAATTCATATGCAGAAAATATGCAGTTTGTGCCAGGCGTGGGAAAACAACAACGATTGCCAAGCGCGAGAAAACAAGCAGCGATTAGCAAGCGCGGGAAAACAAGCAACGATTGCCAAGTGCGGGAAAACAAGCAACGATTGCCAAGCGCAGGAAAACAAGCAACAATTACTAAGCGCGGGAAAACAAGCAACGATTGCCAAGCGCGGGAAAACAAGCAACGATTGCTAAGCGCGGGGAAAACAAGCAACGATTACCAAGCGCGGGAAAACAAGCCACAGGTGTGAAGCGGTGGAAAACAATCGATGGGTTGCGCGAGCGTAAAAATAATTCCATGAATGTTAAGGGCACGCTCGTTACTGAAAAAGAATTCTAGCTTTGTTGCATCTCAGATGAAGAAAGGCGAATACTTGATAATTTTATTCATAGTCAATTGACAATTATTTTTTGATCTACTGTATCTTCAATTTTATTTGTTTGTTTGCCTGTTGTGTTTAGGTTAGACCCAATCATATCACATGTTCCTGTGCAGGAACTGAAGTTGTCTGCCGTTCGATTTGCTGTCAATTCAGAGGTGATTCTCCCTTTCAAAGAATTATTTCTCGATGAACTGACGAATAATTACCAAATAGCTAAATTTCTTTGAAGGATTCACGCTATGGTTTGTCCACCATAGACCTTAGCTTAAAATTTTTTCAAGTTCACAGCAACAATCTGCGTTGATCCTCTCCAATCCATATCCATTTTGGTTCCATAATTGTTTTTTCTTACCTTTCCGTCGTTTTTTTCTAACCTTTCCTTGGCACTGAGGCTTTTTTTTTCTCTTTTGCCAAAAAGCGACTCGAAACATTACAATGTAGCTTCAATTTAAACCCATGGCTACAAATTAATTGTCTTCTGTAACTCAGATCCAGACCATTTTAGTGGGTGACTCGGAAGGCCAGGTTACTGTGTATCAACTAAGAGGTCTTCCTGCAAAAGTGGACAACCAGGTATAAAGTTTTCCTTAGCTGTATTGGCAGCGTTTATTGTTTAGGTAAACTTCATCTACAGATCAGCAGTGGGTAAATCGATAATATCTGCATATCACATGGAATCGTGTAAAGAATCAAAGCATGGTCGCAAGAGCGCGTTAAAATATGTTTTGGATGTGTAAATTGACACCATTAAAAAAGGCCCTGCAAAGGGCTAACCATTTGCGAAACGCGAGATTATCTGAACTAATACTGCTGCGGTCGTAACGCGTGCGATTTTCTTGGCTAACACATCTGTCTCGAAACGTGCATTTGCCTTGAGACTTGCTACTGGTGCGACACGCGTGTCGTTGGTGGGAGTGGGGCCGTCTCGGCACCTTAAGGTATTTAGGTGTTGTCTAGACACGCGTGAAAATCTCGAAACGCGCGGCTGTCTCTTCATGCGTGATTGACGCCTCGTGTGATTGACGACTTGCCCAACTTACCACTAGCTGCTTTTTTCTCCTCGCAAATATTTCAAAAGTAATTTTTTTAAGAAAGAAGATTTTAACTCCACCATATCATCACAAATAGAATTTCAGTCCATCTTTTCTACTAATTTTCTTATTCTTCTTTCTTTGGTTGCACAATCACTCCTTTCTCCCCAGAAGTCCTCAAGATTTTTATAAACTTTGGATGGTATTGAAATATTGTTGAGTGCAGCGCACATATGGCAAGTCCATGATTCGGGAAGAACCGGTTTGTAGCGTTTTCTCCATGAAAAATACTCGTTGTAAGCTTTCTCGTTTCTTTCCAGGAAAAGTAAATAATCAGCTAGAGTTTTAATCGACGCGAAATCCAAAACGTTGATAAAAGAGCCAGGTATAGCGATTTTCTGGTCGTACGAAGCGCCTCCGAAAACTACCGGCACAATATCGTGGTCAAATGGCATGTACCAGTACTTTTCGGTCACGTAATCCGAGCAGTATGAATTTTCAAATGCAAGGATAAATTTATAGCGTTTTAACGTATCGTCGCAAGCCGAAGATTGCCTCGGACACGTTTCAGTTTGGTTAAATCTCTTTGAACACCATCCAAACACATCCACTTTGACGTATTTCATGAGTTTTTTGACGAACTCTTCGCGCAAACCCTGGCAGTGACTCACAACCCAAACCACAAGTCTATCTTTGCTCGATGCATAATTTCTATCTTGCGTTTCCTCGTTTTCAATCTCGTCGGGCTGAAGTTGGGTGTACGTTCGGTAGGGCACGAAGAAATCCGAATCCCTCCGATAGGACATAGTCCAGTTAAAAAACCCGTTATACAGCCATGGTTCGTAAAAAGTAAATTGAGGGCTTTCATGTATAAAATAAACCCATCTCTGATGTGGAGTTTTATACTTCATTATGCGTTTCATGTGAGAAACACTGGGTAAATCTCGTCCGTGGAATATCACTGCATCACTCCGATTAAGGTCTTTCCGGTTGTAAGAGATTCTACATGCCTGCACAACACAAGGTATTCGGTTCCAGTTTGTGAAATTGTAATCGTTAGAAAGTCCTCGCCATGGTCGTTCACCGAATAAAGTCGTGTAGAAAAGAACGAGTTTCGAATCATTTCTCCTTCGTAATGTCTGCGGCCCGCTGCTGAAGAATAATTTTGTAGCTATTCGCTGATCGGACATCTTTCTCGATTGTATTTTGCTGTCGAGGAACCAGTATTGTAGGATTAAAAGAGAGCTTCCCAAGCTAATGCTGTAAAATAATAATCTAGCTTTCCAATTGCCTGCCATGGCTTTTACGGTTTGTCAGGGCTTGAGCTTTTATTTGGAAAAGAGATTGATTCAATGGGATTGTTCCACTATGAAATTGGTAACCTAGCGACATATTCATCGAAAAAAGAAAAAACAAAGTCAATAACCCTCCCTTAAGAAGAATTTAGATATTCCTTTTTACTTATTGCTTCGTTTTATATCAACTTTCACAAAAAATTTCTTTTGAAGGAGGCGGGAAGGGGGAAAAAGCGAAAACATTCCTCTCCTAGCCAAATTTTGTTTCCAAAAACATCCGCTCGCGGTTTACAGATTGAATTTGAAATGGCTTTTGTTCTTGATGATGTGCGTGCCTAATATCTTAAAATTTTAATATTCTTTAACGAGGAGTGTATCGGTCAATTCAGTCTGCCTCTAACTCAGAAAACCACGAACGCGTAAATGTTTAAAATGTTAATCGTGATCTAATCAATAGTGGCAACCACAAATTCACAGATTGTTTACGTTGTCATTTGAGCTTATAATCGCAGCTTCACCTTCGTGTAAATTAACTACATTACTTAAATATTTCGAAATGTAGATCTCAATAAATTGTAATTTAAGAAAAACAAATTCCTGCTTAAAACAATCACACGAAGGTTTTGGTTTGTTGCGGTCAGCGAAATTTGTAGATAATCAAATTGCAGTGTAATTTACTGAGCTTGACTTATGGTTGCGTGTCACGCCTTCAGAGTCGCAGCTTTCAGTCGCAAGTTTTTAATGGTCGCCGGTCATAAATTACAGCGCAGTACGGTTGAGAAAAACTCTAGTTCTAACTCTGTATGTTTAGATAGTGGTAGAACTTTCCTAAAAAAAAAAATAATGCGATATTTATTCTTTATTTCTACAGGCGCAGATATTGACCAAGTTGATCAGGTCTGTCGATAATTCCGCAGGATCCCAAGAGAAAAGGAAGGCAGATTCGGATTAAAAAAAAAAACTCTGGAAACCGAGTCGCTTTGATGAGTCATTCTTTGACTTACGTGGCTCGTAAGTGTCGGTAAAATCCATACATAGGTGTGAGCGCCGGTAACTATTACATGAAAGCTGTTTTTTTATGTAAAATATCAAGGAAAAACCGCAAAAGGATTTTTGAACTCTCATAGGTTTTATTGTCCGACATGAAAAAAAAAGTTTGTGGTGTTTAAGAAGTCACGAATGCGGACTTTAAAATTTCAAGGGAGTTCGTAGGATGATCTATAGCGAATTAGGTTACCAACGTCTTTAACGCAGTTGTTTGAAGGCCAAGATCACAGATTTTAATAGCAAAGAAGCTATGTTATGAAAAACAAACATACAAACAAAAAATTTGATAATTCTAAAAAAAAAGAGGTTTGTACTTGAATATAGGTCAGAATTAATGTGTTATTTATTTTGTATAAAGTGTATCTTACATAAAATCTTTCTTGATATAGAGAAACGACTTGTCTTAAATAAAACAGGACATTTTCTAAAAAGTGGTCACTGTTGCGTTGGTGCTTTCCTTAGATGTCTCAAGGAGAGTTTGAAGCTTGCTCCCACTTATCGTTCTATGACGGCGGAAACGTTTGGAAACCAAATTTTTTTGGTGAAGGTGTTTTTTTCCGTAGCATTTTTTCCTGTCCTTCCACAAATAACAACTCTAAAAATTGCGGTCGGTATCAAGATTAATCCTTATGATTCCATTTTGTTGGACCGTTTATTTTAACTGAATCGTTAAAACCAGTGCGATTACTTCAAATTGCTCAGCATGATAAACAAGGGGTGTAAATTTGTGGTTAATTCACGTTTCTTTTCCTCAGCTCTGATGCCATCTTAGCCTTTCAAAGAAACGTTGATAATCTTGATGTCGTCGTACGGTTTATCGTCCTTAGGATTTGTTTTCACCTTACTTATCTCTTGCACCACGTCCATTCCTTTGACGACGCGGCCGAACACAGTGTGCTTGTTGTCAAGCCAAGGCTGTTGTGACAAGAAGAAAAAAAAATGAACTAACTTTTAATCAGTCAGTGGTGCAAGGTACTTAAAAAGAAAGGTGTTAAAACCGAGGTTGTCACAACAGCCAATCATATCAGGCGAACAGCCTAAAGCGTGGGAAAACGAGGGATACCACGTCGGACTTGATTTTTGTTTAGCATCCGATTGGTTGGGTAAAAGATGAGGCGAGTTTTCTCGACCAATCAAAAGGTCAAAAGAGCTACACTGGGTATAGGCCCATATACGATAGGTTAGGGAATTTCAAGGTTACGCGCTTCCCCGCCTCACAGAAGCTCTTACAACGCGTACCCATATATCATCTTCACAGCGTCAGCTTTCAAAATTTTTTTTTTGAAATTGTAATGGTTGTTCTCGTGTCAAACTCTACCCCCTCCGTGGCAGGCTTCTGTCCCTTGAAATTCAAAGTTAAAGAAAACTTCCACTGAATGGATGAAAAAAATTGCAAACGTTTTAGCGAGAAAATCTGTTGTCCCCTTTTCTTTGAACCCACCGTTGTCTAAAGAACGATTTCAAACTTTGTTTTCTCTCTGGTGTACTTACCGTTGGTACGACAGTGATGAAGAACTGCGAGCCGTTTGTGTTCGGTCCTGCATTAGCCATGCTTACTGTAAATGGTCGATCGTGCCGCAAGTCTCTACGAAACTCGTCTTCAAACTCACCGCCCCAGATAGATTCCCCTCCGGTGCCATCACCTGATTTACAGAAAAAATAAAATCGTATAGTTGTAGCCTTGCAGAGTTCTCGAGAAAAGTTAAATCGTGATGTAGATGGAAAAGGTGTGTTTTTTTTTCTCAATGAAGTCCCACTGTCCAAAGGTTGACATACCAGTTTTTAAGCTTTAACTCACATAACTGACCAAGAAATAATTTCTCCAAGTAGTTTTAGTACACTATTCAGTATATGGTTTTGAGAACGAAGAAAAATATCAACCATGGGATACTTCATGATTAAAGACCAAAATCTCAGAACTTAAGCTGAGAAATATAAGTTGGTCAGTAAGCAAAATCACCCTTGAGATCTTTGAGCAGAAACGGGAAACAAAGAGACAAAAAGAATCACGTGGCTGCGAGGAGACAGGAATAAAATTGGCTCAAGTAACTTGACAAACCGACACACTTCAAGGAATTGTGTCGGCTTTCAGGGAAATTGTACCCCTTGCTAATTTCTTCGATAAAAGTCGTGTTCAAGTTTTCTTTGCTTGATAGAAAAGCGAGCATTTCCCTCTACGAGCCCTCTTGCAAAATAACACTTGTGCAGACAAAGTTTTAAATGGAGATCAACCCTTTAACTCCCAGATCAAATTTGTCATTCTCCTTACTGTCAATCATACAATTCTTATAATGTTAGGTTAGATAATTCAGTATTGGATCAACTAATTATCCCCAAAGTAATATTTTTCTTTATTCTCATCACTTGTCTGCCTGATATTGTATTGATATTGTAAGGAGAAATTCTGTCTTCGTCAATCATGGCAGTTAAAGGGTTAACTCATTTCGTACTTCATGTCTGTCCACGAGAGGACCAGGCAGGCGTGACACATGCCCTCTCACCGATTTCTCTCAAACTTTCACAGATGATTAAGGTCATAAAGTTATTCAAGTGGCCAAAGTAGTTTGGGCTCCCGGTTAATCCCTGGAGTACAAGGGCTTTCACATCAAATTCGAGGGATAAAACCCCGAAATTAGCCTTAAAATTGTACTTTCAAAAAATATCTCCCACACTGATAGAATGCGGTGGATTTTAATCTCATTTTATCCGACAATTCTTTGAACCTTAAGCAATGGAAGGTTTGAAGTTGAATTGATTTGAAATTATCTCGCCAATCGAGAGCATTTCACAATTAACCATGTCATGCGACAATTTTAAGAGACCGAAAATTAGACTTTTTTAATTGCAAATATCTCCAATGGGTAACGTTAAATGTCGATCAACATAAGATCACAATAAAACCCAATCATAGTGCTGTGTTTCTGACGAAAATAATTTTTGGCCTCTGTGAAATGTTCGTGATCACATTCCTCCGAAGTGCGTGACAGGCAAAGTTGATTTAAGCACTTTGTGACCACAAGCTACTAAATGAGCCGAATCAAATCATGTAATGGTATATGTGGCACCAAATGTTTTGTTTTTCGGCTCTAAAAATATTAAAAGATGTTTAGTTGCATAGCTAGAGCGTTGAATTAATTGTACTAATTTGTAGATATTGACACAATTCACTAACAGTTACTAGTAAATCTAATGACACCGATTCGTGTTTATATGCTGGAAGTCAACAGCTAAAAACAAAGTATGCGAGGTAAATTTTGTACATTTTGTTACTTTCCATACTTGTTAAATTTATTATCAAACTTAGGATGCACTTAAACTAATTTCCTCCTAAAGAAAAGACAGCCGTCATGTAAATTTAGGTGTGTGGCGTGACGTGCTCCCGTCACATGTATTTGCATAAATTCAGAAATGAAATTCCCAGAGCTCGAAAAAATAAAAGTCTATCTTGAAAGACAATCCACATTCTACCTTAAATAAACTTGTTTTATTTTACCTTTATAAATTCTGATTGCATGATTGTTTTCGAGGTAGAGATCCTTCAATCAGGCCAAACACCGTCGCCATGAAGAGTAAACAAAGATAACAAAAAAGCACGTAGTCTTTTCTTGCCAGTGAAGTCTCGCCGTTGTTTTTTCTAGTTACTTGGTCGATTTTTTGGAGCGGCAACTTAAAGCTATGGCTACCCAATTGTCTTGTTCGTTCTCTTCGCATTCCAATAGCACTTGTGATTTTTCAGCGAGATTTCCAGGGAAGAATGAATTCTTTCCTTTGTTTTCCTGTACGAGGGATATCAAATCTCATTTGCGATAACTGAAGGTTGCCCAAACATCTGTTAGGTCGGAAAAAGACCTCATTTTAGCTAGAGTGGGACTCTCTGATGAGATGGGGGACGATATGACAGTGTGTCCGAAGCATCGCGCTGCGCTAGGAACCTGGTGGAGACCAAGTCTCAAATATTACCATCCTCTGCATGGCAATAAGCGACGAAAACCACAAAGAGGAGCAAGCTTACAGATGTGTAAAGAGATTATAGAGAAATGGAGAGTTCTTGTTCCCGCTCTTGTAGAACCAGATAGACACCAGTGGTATTCCTTGTACTTCTGCCAGATAATTAATACTTAATAAATGAAATTACTTAAACTGGATAGGGAATTAACAGAATTTGTAAATAGTTCATTCGCAGGTCAATGTGATGATAACTGCTCACTTCTTGTGACAGAAAATCTTCAACAGGAAACTGCTAAAAATTTTTTTGACCATTTACTTTGCACACAAGGTAAAAGGTAGTCGTTAACTTTCGACTTCAGAACAGGTTCAAGTTCTGCGTTGGCTATACGAACTTGCTTTTTTGGTCTTAAGGGAGCTACATTACGATATTTTGAGTCATTTTTACAGTCGTAAAGAGTTGCCTTTAGATAGAATGAAACCTTGAAATGATCGTTTTATAAAGCAGAAAAACACTAAAGATGCAAGAACGGAACAAGGATCGCTATTCGTTAAGAATGGTGAATATAAACAAGGATTGCAAGTGACGAACTTGAAAAAAAAAAAAAAAAACTAGGCAAGTGTCTCATCCAGTGTTTGACGATCAATTGATAATAAGAAACAGGGCTGGAGAACATTCAAACAGATGGTGTGTGTGTCTTTGCCTCATTAGTAGAAACAGCAGAAAGGTTATGCTCACTCGGTAAGTAAAATCGTTGAAGTTAGCAAATGCTAGAGAAGAAGCAACTTACTAGACCGTAAGATTATTGGTGAATTTCCTGGTAATAAAAGGTTTGAAAAATACTTTATTCCCATGTTATGCGCGTAAATGAATTTTTTATATCAGTTGTATAGCATCTCGAACTGCATGTATCAACTGTCAGGGTTTTTTTTTAATATATATATATACATTTTTTAGGTCTACAAGAAGAAGGAACGAAAGATATGAAACGCCGCTTGAAAAGTGCAAGGCAGTATTTAAAGACTGATTACAAAATCCACTTAGAAAGGGAGAGTCCTTGTCCTGACCACTGCCGACAATTTGCCTCGAGTAGTTCCGAACCAGAATTCCACGGAAGCCGTGCGCATCAGCACACGGTCAACTGCTGCGATCGATGCGAGGATCTTAAGAATGTAATAGCAGACCTGCAGTTGGCATTTGACGCAGAAGAAGTCAAATTCAGGTGATTATATGTGTTTACAGTTGATACCATCTGGTTTCCTCACAACCTTCGTTTCGTTCTCGAATGACATGAAAAGTGTATGCAAATGAAGTCAACAATAATAATAATAATAATAATAATAATAAGGACTTTATTTATAGAGGGGGACACGTAACAGCTGAAAAGCTGACAAACCTGTGGCCCTCTAACTAGATTATACAGCATTACAAAATAATACTAATAAATAGATAAATATACAAATAATTACAAAATTCTATGATAGAAATAGCAGGATATATTAAAAATATTCAGAAAGATAAAATTAATTTATAAAAAATTAAAATTAGATAATGTGCTATTGCTTAATATTGTTTCAAAGTTGTCCAGGTTTCTATATGAGCTTATAAAATACTTTTTTCACAGCTGTTTTGAATAGTTTTATACTAGGCTTATTTTTGATATTATGGGGAAGGCTGTTCCATAACTTAACTGCGTCAACACTGAATGCCTTGCCACCATCGTTATTTCTTAGGTATTTGGGACACACTAAATTTAAATTGCCATGTCTAGTAGACCTATTGTGTACAGAACTGTTCGTCTTGAGCAAGTCTCTGATGTAAATCGGAACATCGCCTTTAAGGCTCTTAAAAATCATTGTACACTTATTTAGTTTGATTTCATCAAAAAAAAAAGGCAACCAGCCTAGTTTACTAAAGTTTATAACACTTCTAGAATAAGAGTCAACTCCAAGGATTACTCGGGCAGCCCTTTTCTGTAACCTTAGGAGACAGTGGAGTTCTTTAGCGTCGCAGATATTCCAAACCATGCTCCCATACATAAGGACGGGTTTAATCAAGGCGTTATAGTATAAGAGTCTTTCTTTTATTGGAAGGTACCTCTTTATCTTCTTCAATAAACCAATACGCTGAGAAAGCTTGGCCTTTAGACTAGAAATGTGGTCGCTAAATGTAAGATCTTGATCGAGTGTTACACCAAGCAATTTATAAGAAGTTACTTGTTCTATTTCGGCCCCATCAAGGGTTATTAACTAGCAGTCAAAGATGACGTGAAAAATAACTGTCAATCTCAGTGTCATATCACAAAGGCAGGAACGCTTTTTTTTTTTTTTCATCTTCTTAAACTTTTATGAAATGCTTGAGAACTGAACCCTCTTTAAGGTTGTATTTACCGACTTGTTTTCAACTGGAACCATGAAAAGGATTTACCAAACAATACGCTAGTTTTCAAATCTCGGCAAAAGAAAGCATATTATCTAAGTTATATTGTTATACGTCTTTTAGCAGTAAAGACCAGCTGGAAGAATTACAGTACGATGTGGATAACGCAGTTCCTGATATTGGTGGATAGAAAGCGCATATCCTCAGGGCGGCTCACCAGGACACTGCAAAAAGTGCGGTTATCAAGTACTTATCATTATGGACTGGGCTATGAAATTTCTCCCAATCGGTTACCGGGAAACACAACGAAATTGGATTGGGAAGAAGGGAAAGTCATGGCGTGTTTCTGTTGCTGTCAAAAAGGGAGATTGAGAAAGAAAGAGAAATTGAGGTAGAGTTTCAGTTGCGTCTGGGTGTAATGTAACTAAGGTCGACATCTAGAAAAAAGAAAACCTACAACTGATTTATGATTAGTGTTCATCACGCCAGCGTAACGAAAGGAGTGATAAACTAATTTAGCAGTCATGAAGTGAAAGCAGCAATGAAGTGAAAGCGATGCCGAAACCAAGATATCTGCAAACGTTCTATCTGTGAAGAAGACATTGGCCAGAAAAAGTTGATTTACACGTACATTTTAAGCAATTTCTGGATGTAAAAATGTTGGTAAACCGAAAATTCAAGTACCAGCTTTAAACAAATTCCCTACTGCGTAGGTGTTTCATAATATAGAGCTTTACCTCAACAATGGCTGTACGCCTAATGGTGACAATACTAATTAGGTAATACAATCCCGTTTTTTCTCTAGACACGAAGCTATATCCACCTTTTCGACAAATGCACCCAAAACTGGTTTGCAGTGGTATCAATCCTGGAAAGTACGCTCATGGCTTTAAAGGCCAGTTATTCCAACCTCAGTGAAGCTTTCTTGCGATCCGATAACGCTGGGTGCTAAAGGAAAAGATTCGGAAAGAGTCTAGAATGTAGAAAGAGAATCGGACTATGACAGTATTATAGCAAAGTGGGCAGAGACCTGTAAAACTGTTACAGGAGACTATGTGCAAGGTGAAGTTGGTGGTGCACCGTCAGTGACAGAATCCCCATCAGTATCAGCTGACAATCCATCACTGAAGGAGGGTTGGGCAATGAAGAAATCAAATAAGTCAATCCGATTTTCCGAACGCGTTCGCTGTTATTTGCAGGAAACATTCTTCCAAGGAGAAGAAACCGGTGTTAAAGCAAATCCCGCTGATATTGCATGTAAAATGAGGAGTCAAAGATCGTCAAATGGAGATAAATTGTTTTCAAAGGAAGAATGGTTTTCAACACATCAAGTTGCAAGATATTTCGGCAGACTGTCAGCCCTTAACAAGAGTGGTGTCTTAAAGCGAAATGTAAGTGCTTCCCAAGAGGAGGAAGAGGACCTTGATTATATCAGCGAAGTAGAAGCAATGGAGAAAAGATTCCAAATAAGAAGGGAACTAGAACTTTAATTTACAACGTGTAAGACTACTACTGTGGGATACTCCACAAACACTTACCAAAACAAAATCAACTGCAAAAATCAAAATTCATGCAGTGAAGTACATGTCACAGAAACACGTGTCACGCCACACACTTAAATTTACATAACGGCTGTTTTTTCATCTGTAAGGAAATTCCTTTAAGCGCGCTCCATGTTTGAAAATAAATTTAAGAAGTATGAAAGGAAAAAATTGTGCAAAAAAAATTTGGCATACTTTGCTTTCAGCTGTTGACTTTCAGTATATAAACACGAATCGGTGTTATTAGATTTACTAGTAACTGTCAGTGAATTCTGTCAATATCTAAGAATTAGTACAATTAGTTCAAGGTTCGGTTATGTTTTTACGAAACATCTGGCGTCATGGACCATTTGATTCGAGGTCAGAAGTGCTTAATTCGGGTCGCGAGGCCATGTGTTTTCCTGTCGGCAAAGACTTTGGAATTAAATAAACTCTGAAACTGCTATTTTTTGGCTTTCTTTGGTGTTTCGAGGAACCTTTTCGATAGGAAAACCCTTCGGTGTTGAGATTACACGGAAAACTCCATCTGAAACCCCATTGCCCTTCAGACGAAGTCAAAAATTTATAATACAACCTAAATTCCAGAATAAATAGGGTTTTTGCGGAATGTTTCCGAAGTTAATTGCAAAGAGAAAAAAAAAAAAAAAAAAAGAAAAAAAGCGCAACTTACGTTCCTTTTCTCCACAAGGGACCAAATAACATTTAATCGGGACGCACAGCTATGTCTTCACTCGACCGAGACGACTCCCTAAAAAGTACAACGAAAGTTCTAAATACTCGATCCGAGCAAGCTGATATTACGTGTAACTCACTCAGCTCTGCGATTCGTTTATACCTTTTCATAAAATTATTTTGTCACGGAGTTCACGTGTGAGAACTGAAAGAAACTCGTAAAAACAAAAAGGGGAAGCAAGGACACAGCCGTAAACATGACTACAAGCATTGACTACACATATTTTTATCAATACCAGGTGAACGCTTGCCAAAATTTCTTTCATGAACAGCTCCCTGACGTCCCAAAACTCAAACCATTAGAGGAGCACGATATACCAGAATTTACGATACGTCGTAAGTATAATAAGCCAATCTTGTACGATATCACAGGCTTAAATGCTCAACAAGTGGTGGCCGCGCTGGTTGGCATTGTCAACGACAGAGAGAAGTTTACGATAAACAAGAACTTCTACCTGATGATAAAACACGATGCAAAGGTAGAGGAGCTTTTCAGACTCACTGCAAGGCCAACAACACACCAGCCTGGCAATGGCATTATGTCCATGCGTCCGAGGGGAAGTGAAAATTTTGCCAAGTCAAGAGGGAAAAACTATGAGCAGCTCATTGAGGCTTTGAGGGAACATTACCAGGATACTATCACCTTTACGAAGGATATCAGAAAAATATTTTTGAACAATAAAATGTCCGATTGCGATTTTCCTCAAGTCACCCTTGAAGCCTACATGATTTTGCTCTTTGAAATAGCTCGACGAATGGTAAAGTTAAAAGAACAAAGCGAAAGAAAGGGGCAGTATGATGTTCTTCCAATTGCAAGCGCTATCGTAGGGATTGTTAAATTGCTCGAGTATGGTAAAGATGATGTATGCACGTTTGAGGACGTTTTTTCTTCTGACGGTAAGTTTCATTCCTTCTCTGGCAAACCTCAGACTAGGAAAAGAGCGATTGGCAACATAAACACAGCCTTAGTTAACGCCGAGAGCGTAAAAACGGCGACCAGTTCAAATATCTCGAAGAAAAGGAAGGTGATGCCAGGCACGGAAAAAAATCGTCACCTCAAAGAGCTTGAAGAAATGTTCTGCTCACGAACAAAAGTGCCTGAGTAAAAACCTGAGAAAGAAAGTGCCTGTAGAAAAAACCTCTGTATACTTACAATGTATTAGTTGTTGTGTTACGACCGTTGAATATGTGAGAATTGTATATCGCTATAGATTTTTGGTTTGGATTAAATCGTGATGTTACATAGAGATACAGTCCTCTTGATTTGTTTGAACCAGCGAGCGGGGTAATAAGAATTTCACAACACCCAAGTACGTGAGGTAACAATTTTTTCGGGATGACATTATGGATTTCTTTTTCCTTTTTTTCTTGCTATCATGGATTTAAGATAAATTATTTTCCACGTCTCAGCACACAAATTTACCTCGCGACTCTTACCTCGAAATCCGGCCCTTCGTCTTGCCTTGTAGCGGCAATCCATTTTGATCTCAATAAATTTGAATAAATTATAGCATGTGCGTTCTATAGCGTGTTTACGCATCTCTACACATTAGTCTATTTAGGCACTGTCTGGAAACGCATGAAGATCTCGAAACGGGCGGCTGTCTCTTAACACGTCATTGGAATCCTTTCGATTCCATTAAATTGGACCGTCCATTTTTTAACTGAATCGTTAAAACCAGTGCGATGACTTCAAATCGCTCGGCATGATAAGGAGGGAGCAGCACTGATGTCATCTCAGCCTTTGAAGGAAACGTTGATAATCTTGATGTCGTCGTACGGTTTATCACTGAAACTCGTCTTCAGACTCACCGCTCCAGATAGGTTCCCCTCCATTGCCATCGCCTGATTTACAGAAAAAGTAAAATCGTAAAGTTGTAGTTATGCAGATTTCTCGATGAAAATTATATCGTGATGTGGATGGAAAAGGAGTCATGTCTCTTACCGAAGTCCCGCTGTCCAAAGCCTGACATACCAGTTTAACTCACATAAATTACCGAGATAGAATTCCCCCCTGTGGTTTCTATTAATTTCTTTTAAGTTTCAAAACAATTTGAAGATTCAAAATAAATATTACGTACACGAAAGTTGTTCACCACGTTGGGCTGTGAAAATTATTACTTACTTTTAAATTGCTGTCCATGTTTTTTAAAGCTCCTTGTGTAGAGAAATTTTGAAAGCTCGGCTATTCAGATTTTTTGTGCAAAATTGCACGAAGTCGTTCAACTGGAATTTTGGGCGTGTAATGTAAACAAACCATTTACCGTACTAAATATATGTTTAAAACATATGACATCATTCACCCTTGTCAAAAATAACATGATCCTTTCAATCATAATACCTTCTTATTCCAACGTTACTTTGTTTCTTTACTACGTTATTAGCGAACGAACTTCTGCTCGTACTCTAACTATAATAACCAACCACAAAAATCCCTACACCAGATAACATTCAAAATAGTCATCTGTCAATTAACGACTTTGCTCACAGAGCACTTTGATTTCTTATTATCATGGATTTAAGATCATTTTCCAGGTCTTAGCACACAAATTTTCGATAGGAAAATCCTTCGGTGTTGATATTTCACGGAAAAATCTATTTGAAACCCCATTGCCCTTCAGACATAAATGCCGACATATTACGTCCTGACTATAATAACGTCGCTCGAGAATAGTTTTTAATTCATGCATGTAACATTTCCTATTGTCATGAAATGTTCCTAACAAAGGTTACAGTGTGCGTGATTGTTTTTCCCTTCTAATCTAAAAACCAAGTCCATGTTCCCTCTAACAGGAAAAAAAAGAAACCAAGTCCACGTTCCCTCTAACAGGAAAAAAAAAAGAAACCAAGTCCACGTTCCTTCTAACAGGAAAAAAAAAAAGAAACCAAGTCCACGTTCCTTCTAACAGAAAAAAAA